CCCTTATGAAAAAAGACTGCTCTTGGAGTAACCTGAAGTATGTGCATGGAAAATTGAGAATATTTGCAATTTTATTTCACGTTTCCAAAATCGATGTCATCTGCTCCTGACTCCCTGGCCGCTGATTGGCCGGCTCCTGATGTGCCTGAGACCCCAGCTTGGAGGGGCCCGGAAGTCCCGCCTGAGGACTTGGGATGGGGCCCTCTGACCTCAGACTTGGGCATAGTGCATTTGTGCCAAATTTCAGGTCAGGAGATATTGGCAAAAATGTAGAATGCTGTGCTGTAGTACCTCCTCCATTGACTGTCTGATTTGGGCCAGATGGACTGAGTGGTAGGGCGAGGCCTTACAGGTCAAATGAGTAGAGCCTCCTAATCACCGCCCTACGCTACAGGCCAGAAGTTTGGGCCCACCCTTGGGTACACTGCTTTGTCAGACTTTTATTACAAAAAAATATTAGAAATACTTAAAACAAATGTAACTGACTCGTTTTCAGTATTTTATATGTAACATTATTTAGCCACAAAGGCTGAAACTGTTGGTTTTGAAGAAAACATATCAGGTGTGTCTTTCATGCACTGACATTCACTTTGTGTTAGAATTCTATTTACTAATGTCAGAACTTGATTGGATCTTGACCTTCTTGATTGTGTCTTATTAATAAGCTAAAGAATAGTCACTTGTCTGCCTTGTCCCAGATCAGTTTGTGAGGTTTAATGCACTATCTGCTCCTCATTTCAATCTTCTGTTGTACGGTATCACAACTGATGAGTCAGAATTTTTTAGAAATATTTGTTTTTTAATTTTTGTTATTTATTTTTATGCTTGTAATGGCTAGAGTGCTAACAATTAAACAGAGGGCTCACATCGAAATTTTGAGCGAAGGAGGGTTCTCTCATTGCCAAATAGCCAGAAAGTAAAATGTCTCTAAGCATGCAGTGACCTACAGTACTGTTTACACAGAAAAAGGTTGACAGGAAGCAACAGTGACTGAAACAGTCTGGGGGCAAGGAAAGTGACATCAAAGGCTGAAAACCAACACTTAGTTGTGACGTGCAAAACAAATCAGAAGATGGCTGCAGAGGTCTGAGGGCTGCGATTAATGTGAACAGAGAGGAACCGGTATCTGCATAATACAGTCAAGCAAAGACTGAGAGCAGCTGGACTGCATGGTCGACTTGCTGCCAGAAAACCTTTTCTTTGTGGTGTTAGCAGGAAAAAGAGACTGATATAGGCTAAACAACACAAACACTGGAGTATTCAGGACTGGGATCAGGTCAAGTTCAAACTGAGTGTCTACAAAGGGGACAGAACTGTTTGCATGCTTGAAAAGGTGCTGGGAGGGTTTGGACAAAAGGTATTTCCAAAAATTGCTGGAAAGGAAGCTGCGTATCTGTGCTGCTGTGATGAAGGCAAGGGGTGGCTATTCATTAAATCGCAATTACAATGTACAGTAAATTGTTACATCACACTTCAAAACCAGTTACATTTGTTTAAGTATTTCTAATGTTTTCTTGTAATATACAAATTGTTTATTTTTTTAAAAATCGTAGGGTGGGCCCAAACTTTTGGCCTGTAGTGTGTATCTAAATTCTCTCCTGCCTCTTCACCATCTTAGCTACTGTGTGGTGAGCTCACTGGCACAGAATGGCCACGATCACATGATCCAGGAGGGTGCGACATGGTGGTGAAGTAGCTGTATTGGGTTCTGTAAAGCACTTTGAGTGCTTTGAAAATCGCTATATGAATGTAACATTCATTCATTCATTCACATCAAGAATGCCTAAATGATCATCTAGAGACAGTGAAGCCCCAGACTCCAAACGTAAGAATAGCTTCAGTAGTTCTGAAGTGGAGGTGCTGTTGTAGGAAGTGAACAGCAAAGGAGCTGTCGTATTTAGTATTTTCAGCTGTGGATATAAAAAATGGTTTGATCTCAAATCTGAGGCCAAGAAAATTATTGCCAAACACAGAAGGGAGATACTGACCACTGGAGGGGGACAGACTTGCCCAGAGGTATCAGAGCTGTACCAGCATATCAGGGACATTATTGGATAGACCACACTCTCCGTGTGCCATCAGCTGAGCATTTGGACACAGACCTGGTTCATGTCGTAGGCCTGGGATAGGCAACCCTGATCCTGATAGAGTTATGGTTTAGGTAGTGAACCTGGTGACAAGTGTGTGCATGTACAAATGTTTATGTATCCTTGCCAGTATATGGTGATGGCAGATTCATCAGTTTTGAAAACGTGAAATAAAATTGCAAATATTCTCAATTTTCCATGCACCATACTTCAGGTTACTCCAAGAGCAGTCTTTTTTCATAAGAGGCTCAATTTTATATTCATAGGCTGCTACATCACCTTTACAACTGCATGCATGTTTGTCATATTTTACAAACGTGCGGGACAAGTCCATCTCTTCATTAGCCTACATCATTTTTATTTTATTTTATTTGGCTCTCCAAACTAGACGAATCTGCTTCTGTCTTCTGCAAAAATAAATGAATGAATGCCGCATGAACGCACTTGTCACCATTTAACAGCATCATCACCATTAAAACACCGAGCAAAACACCAGTATCCACCAGGTTTTCTATCCTGCCTGGTCTCTGATGAATCACACCTGATCTCAGGCAGATAGTGAATCATCAGGTAGGATAGGAAACGTGCTGGATACCAGCACGTTTCGGATCGAGGTTACCTACACGTAGGCTATCTCCTGTCTCAGAACCAGAAGGTAAGCTGATTTCGCAGAATTAATCCAATTTGATGGTTCACTTTATGTAAAAGCTGTAGCTTTAAAACCATGGAACATGTGACATATTTAACATGTAAACTCCAGTGTGTAAAACCTAAAGGTGACTGATTATTTTTGGGAATACATGTTCTCGTTTTCAAAATGTCCATGTGTTGAAAGAGTGTTACCTAAGTGCTTAGTTTGTATTCAAAATGTACCCATTTGCTTTTGCAGCGTAGACCTAACATTGTATAATTAATTTTTATAAATTATTTACAAACGAACTCCTGCTGAGGCAACCAATTCTGAGGCGAATCCTGGCATGTCGCAGTCAGTAACTTCCTGCAGCAGTACCTCCGCGCGTGCACACAAGTCCCGTTCAACTGCCCCACGTCTCATCACAGGTGTGGTCCTGAACAACCAAACGAGAATGGCCCGAACGCTTATACAGAGAGGCTCAACCCTGGCCATAATCTCCGAGACACTTACAGAAAATTCTACAAATTTAAAAGGTAATTGGTAGCGCTTTACATTAACTGCACCTTAATAATAAGTAATAAAATGTATGTAGCACCTTCATAATGCAGTTACGGTACATTCATCAGCATCATGTAAGTATCCCTTAACATCATATCATAGTTTAACAGCTTTAATATACATCAACAACTCCCCAACAGGATCATAGGGGCACACAAACCCCTCCACCACGATAAGGTACATATAATTGATATGAGTTGTAGTTTAGTGTTTATTTATTTTAGAAGGCCACAATGCTTTGTAAAACAATGAAAAAAACATTAAAAATTTTACAAATTATAAAAAATATTATTGTAATTTAAATCTTATATCAAACAACTCATACAACTATAGAATTGTAAACGCAATAACCAACTATATATATATATATATATATATTGCACAAACTCGTCAGCCCTCAAATGTCTGCCAATGTGCTTAGATTTCTAAGAACAAATCCTAAATAAGGAAACATTTACGAATGTCAGAATTTTCGTGAGAACTGGGTAAGTGGGCTTTAAGAACTTTTTTAAGAAGAGTTGGTGAATGAGGCCCATTGTTCTCTTTTGAAGACGCGCGCTTTCAAAGGTCAAAGTTATTTATTTTTTACTACTTAATCAAAAATAAAATAAAACATGCGTATATTTTCTGATTTGCCAAATGAAAAAATACAAAGCAAGTAAACGAATGTTAATACTTGGTCGTTTATCGATGTTCGAATAAAGTTTATAAGAAAAATAAAACAACAGGCTGCTGATGGCAGGGATCTACTTCCGGGGTAAATAATTCGATTTAAAAGCGCCAATTCGGTCTTGACGGTCTGTTTGCGCTGATTTCTGCTTGAGGTGTGTGCGCCTCTTCTGTTTTGCATATAATATCGTTTGTTCTTCCTAAACTATTGTTCGTACAGTCTTACTGCTTCACGTACCGCTTATAATATTCTTGAATAATCGTACTTTAGTTTGAGTTAAATGAATGAGAGCGTGTATAAAGCTGTTCTCTTTGGACCATCGACATTTTTGGCATTTCTTTATCTGTTTACATTTTAATGATTTTGCTTGCATTGGTTTGCTTACAGGCAATCTCCACGTCCAGAATGGGAGACCCTCCCTAAGGCTGCCTTTCAGTTAAATTTGTAGGTAAGTCGGAACCATAATAATACCACAGTACATAATGAAAACAACAGGGATCCATCCAGCTTGAACCCTTAATAATACAATTATAATAAAAGTAACTACATACGGTACTGAACTTAGAGCTCTGCGAAATCCGTTTTTTTCTTCCTCTAATTCCGTTTTTCCGGATGTATTTTGACCTGCTTGGGATTTTAAGTTTTTATAAGCTACAGAACCGAAAAAAAAACAGCCTTAAAGGGGTTTCAAAGTATGACGCCTTGTGCTCAGTCTCTTGTGTTGACCTTTGTCTCCTTAAAGGCTTTTTTTCGGCTCGGCAACTTACAAAAAATTCGGGTCATTTGCGGGCGGGTTAGTTTAAATTTAAGTACTTACAGCGAGCCGGGCGTAGTTTTGCCTTTATTAATAGCGGCTCCAGTCGCGCTCCTGTTGGTTAAAAGCATCGGTCGAGTTCTGGTCGCGCGTTAGCTGACCCCTACATCACTAGTTCCTACGCTGTAATGGCGCCACACAAGGCTGCAATGGCCGATTAGTGGTCATTATTGTAAACGCTGGAGCAACCTGGGAAGTGCACCGAGTTCCTGCGGTGGCAATAAGCTCGGATACTACTGTTGCCCGCAGACGCGGATGGTCGTGGTCGGTGCATGCATACAGCTTTGATATTCCACCAGACCACAAGAGAGTTTACAACCAATAGGCTACAAGCAATGTAGTGGAACGGTAACCCTTTTTATGACCAGGTTTGAAGTTGTTAGTTTAGGCTTGAGAGTTATGAAGGTAATATGGCATACAACGGTATTTTGAAATCCTTATGACAATTTTGTCTGTACAAATACAGCTGTCTAAAATTGCATAATCTCATTTGTGTAACCTACAGAACTAACACACTTATTCGTATTTTAATGTAAATTGCGCAAAACATCACAAAAGTGAAAATAAACACTGGAAAATAAGAAGTGTTCTACTGTATTGGAAACAGCCTTAATGACAGCATATTTCCTCTGCACCTGACTCATATTTAGCCAAATATTCTGACAGTAATTCACCTTTGGAAAAATAGTTTTTGAACATGGCTAATGTAAAAACCAGGTAAACATTATTGGTACATACAAACAAATTGTCATACTGAGTCGTATTGCTGCATAGTGAGATAGCGAGAATGAGGTTGTGTCTGTGTGTGAGAATTTTAGTCAGTTCTGAGTAATTCAGCAATGAGACATTTTATCTGAACGTGGCTAATCTAAACTCTAAAAACTGGTACTGTTGCTGATGATATCACAATTTGGGGCGGGGTATTTTTGTATTGAATTTGAAAAATGGCTGTATTATGTGTACAATGTGTGATATTAATACCAACATTCCATTTTTTGCTAAACATTTTTCTGTCATAGGGAGAAAAAAACACAGCAAGTTTTGCAGTTTTAATGATTCCTTTTCAACATTATCTAGTATATGTTCGGTTTAAAGTCTCTCTGCTGCTTCAGCATGAGTGCTGTATGCGTTCTCCGAGACATCATTTTCATCCTTGCTGTTTAAATAGCTCCTAGATGGATTTGTGAGACATCTGTTGAACTCTTTTTAGCTTTACAAATACCCCAAAATTTATTACAAAAAAGTCTCATTGTGATGTTTTCCTGTACACAGTGCTGTTATGCAAAAACATTTTGTCATGTCATGCCATCCTGATCTTGCCTGTGTTCTCCCGACCGGATTGCAGTTTAAGTTCGGGTCTCTTCATGTCTCCACACGTCCATTATTGCCTTTATTTTTTTTTTCTTTGTTTATCCTTCTCCATATCCGGAGTTTACAACTTTTTTTCCAAGACAGCGGTTGTATTGTGTTTCAGAGGCGGGCTATTTGCATAACCAAAGGGGCATTTGAAATCCCATTCTGAAGTGCCAAAATATCCTCCTGAGACCCGACCTATTCATTTATGTCCATTGCAGTGGACATTGTATTTTTGCATTTATTTTTTCACTGATGTTGGGAAACATATTTATTCTTGTTGTGTGCTAAAGAGGACATGCTGTGAAATTAAAATAAGAATAAATTTGAAAAATGTAAAAATTGTAAGATGTCTTATTTCCTCCAAAGACAAATAACCTGCAATTGAAGGACACTTTTTTTTCTTTGGGTCTCAGGAGGTTAAATCCCATTTTGGACTAGCACTTTAAGGGACTGGAACTTTTGGTACTGGTACTTGACTGGAAAAAGCAAAGTACTGTGCCAAAAGTATGGTGGAAAAGCACCCAGTGATTTCTCAACTGATTGAGAAACTTAAAATGTACAAATAAACCCAATAAAGACAGCTGCCAGTGGGTCACATTCCTTTTTATTTCTTGGTTGCAGGTATACTTATCAACCAAGCTGCTTTTCATACCTAGGTATGAATTAGTATTTTGTGGTTTAAACTGTATACGATATTAATTTGGCCAACGGGAGAGATTTTTGATTATACCGCCCTACCGCACAAATTTCCGCTCCTCGTCCACAAAAATTACGTAATCAGGTCACGTCAAATAATAATTTTTAATTTATATGAAAAATATTTATTATTGCTGCACCTGGCAGCAGAGTCCTGCACTGGTCTGATTTTGCCAAACCGCACCCGCCCGTACCCGTTATACTTAAACCCGTATCCGAATAATAACCATTATCCGACAAATAAAATTAAATTCCACACCCAATCTGAACCCGAATGAAAATCAGTCAGCCAAAATTAGACAAGTTTGCCACAACAAACGACCAGTGACATGTGCAACATCAGCTGAAAAGGCATAGCGAAATGTAAATGTTGATTAATAACAGCCTAATAGGCTACTACTGTTTGTTTTGCTTACCTCCAAACTCAAAAATAATGTTTGATATTGCCATGCCCACACGTAGCCTTTCCAGCTTACAATCAAATGTGTTAATAAAACTCAAATTATATAAAATGTACATATCCTACATCTGACTCGACCTGAACTCGTATCCTGCACAGTAGTAGTAGTCACCGGCGGGTACCCGAACCCGTGCAGGACCTTTATGGGAGAGACGGTCATACTAATATAGATGGAGTTATGACACTAGTCTAATTGTATTATTTTTGTAGCTTTTGGTTCTGTCTTTTCTCCTTACCTACAGTTTACAAAACCAACCTGTGTTTTTAATATATGACAAAACCAGGGAAATTACTTCATATATGTTTTCATATTTTTCCTATAATTGCAGATTTGCACAATAAATATTCTATGTTCACGACTACTTTGAAATGTGAACAGTTTGTTATACAACTTCCTGTTGCAATGCCTTTGCTATGGACATATGTTACCCTCTCAAAAAGTTACAGTGGTACCTCGGTTCTCAAACTCACTAGAACTCGAATTTCTTGAAAGTCGAACAAACCAGTTTGACCTAGAACTCGATCTGAATATCAGAAGTCGAACAGTGAACGCTGACCTAATATAAATTGTACGCGCCAGGAAATGTCACACTGCACGTCTGAGCGGAAACAAAAGGTAACGCTTCAGTGTCAGCCTCGCATTTGCTGTAGTAGCAGCACTTGTTGGTGATACAGTATTTTCAATAAAATAACATTATCAGGTAATACACTGTACTTTATATCATTTTGTTAGCCATTGCTCACCAAAAAGTTACGTAATAGTTCTACAAATGTTACAACCTAAAAGTTTGCTATTCACAAACAAATTAACGAATACAGAGTAATAATAAAAATAAACAATGGACCGGATTCAAAGTTTTTATTGTCATGTACAGACTACAATGCAATTCTTACTTGAATGCCTTCTTCACAGACTGGACGAGTAACCAAATAAAGCAGCGCAACATTACAGTAACAATAAATAAACCACTAACTTACGTGTACTATTAAAGCATTTGTCATTTATTTAAACTTTATTTTACAGGTAAATTAACTGAAAACCAATTCTCACTGCTTTACGTGATATTCGGGAGAAAGATTACGCGTCGGAACTGCCTGGGATACTAACGTCATGCGTGTAACTAAACTCTTCAGCCAATAAGGGCAACGGTGTGTCATCAGGGAGGCGGTTCTAGTTTGTGCAGCCGGGTGAGAGGTCGCAATGCAGATCACATGGGGATCCCACGAGTGGTTAACGAGGGGGCGTGGCACACGGAAGGAGCGGACGATCGGGGCAGGACAGGGGTAATGTTGGGATAAGATCTGTCGTTTTGGAAGCCATTAAGAAAAAAATGCTCTTGTTTTATCCTGTTCATTTTGTGTTTAAATGCTAAAAACAAAAGAAAAAAGAACATATTTAAGTGTAATTTTGGCGGGCCGGTAACCAATTAATTAGTTTAACTCGAACTTTTTAGGATTCGATCCGGAATCCGGAACGGATTAAGTTCCTGAACCGAGGTACCACTGTATATTGAAATTTAGAGATCAAATTATATACAGCAATATATACAGTCTATGGTTCCAATTATACCGGAATATGAATTTTATGACATATCACAGCCCTAGTATGAATGTGCCCTTATTTTACGTTGGCTTTTCACATTTAAATGTTTAAATTGAGGAAAATCTGCTTAACGTCATGGCAGCATGTCATGCAATTTACTGGCAGCCTTATTGAAAGCAACTGTAGGTGTCTGTAAATCAGGGGTCTTCAAATCTGGACCTCGATTCCAAATCCAGGCCGTGTTTTCAGTCCTCCCAGGTAGTTAGTTTAATAATTACTTATTCTGATTGGTCAGTGGCTTCACACTTGACTGACAGGTAAAGGAAGGCTGGAAAACCCGCAGTGCTCAGACCTCGAGGACCGTGATTTGAATAACTCTTCTCTAAATCCTACCTGCTTTCAGCTAGACCATTTAATTACATGCACGTCATTTTGCTACTAGTTAGAATGCAACTTTTGTATTGTAATGGATTGTCCTTCAGACATTCCTCAAACAGCGTCCGCTTTCCTGTCCTTTCTAGTCTAATACGAGAGCCTTTTACATTCTGAGTGTATCTCATGTAAATTGGGAAACAACTGGTCAAAATGGATAAATGGCAATGCATTGCATGGGTCACATCATTCTCATCTGCACATTTTCAGAACCGGTAGCCAACATGGCCAAAAGAACTTATGCACGACGAGACTTGGAGCCAGTGCCAAATAGTGAAGAAGACGATGAGGATTCATCAGAGTGGGAGTATAAAGAGGTGACTGAATCTGAGAGTGATACAGCAGACAAAGTCGATCTAAAGCGCAGACCTCGAAAATCTCCCAAGACTGTCGAGCAGGACGCCCCACAGCAACCCGAGCAGAGACCAGGAGAAATATTCATGTCCAGGAATGGTCAGATTGAATGGTCATCATCTCCAAAGGTTGCACAACCTCGCCCTCACACAAAATTAAAGATACCTGGACCCACAAGGATGGCGGTGAGCCGTGTCCATGATATAAGATCAGCGTTCGAGCTATTTCTGCCAAAGTCAATTCAGAAAATTGTTCTGAAAATGACCAACCTCGAGGGAGAACATGTTATAGGTGAGCAATGGAAAGAGGTAGATAACACAGAGATGCTTGCCTACTTTGGGCTCCTTATCCTTGCAGGTGTCTACAAATCAAGAGGAGAGTCAGCTCTGAGTCTGTGGCATAAAGAGAAAGGAATACCTTATTTCCAATCAGTAATGTCATTGAAAAGCTTCTATATGTTCTCAAGAGCCATCACATTTGATGAGTGGGCATCAAGATGTGAGAGACGGCAGAAGGACAAGTTGGCAGAAATACGAACTGTGTGGGATAAATGGGTGAAACGACTTCCACTTATGTATAATCCTGGATCCAATGTGACTGTGGATGAACGCCTTGTTGGATTTAAAGGCCGTTGCCCGTTCAGACAGTATATGCCCTCCAAACCAGCAAAGTACGGCATAAAAATCTGGGCTGCATGTGATGCTGCTTCCGCCTATGCGTGGAACATGCAAATCTACACAGGGAAGGCAAAAAGTGGAATCTCAGAGAAAAACCAGGGAATGCGGGTGGTGCTCGACATGACACAGGGCCTCAGCGGCCACAACATCACTTGTGATAATTTTTTCACATCATACAACCTGGGACAANGTAACATGACTATGGTTGGCACAGTCAGACACAACAAGCCAGAGTTGCCGCCTGAGCTTTTGACTGTGAAGGACAGGGAAGTGACATCCTCGGAGTTTGCATTCACAGCCAATACTACTCTGGTGTCATACGTACCACGAAAGGGCAAGAATGTGATGCTGATGAGTACACAGCATCGAGAGGGACAGATCAGTGACAGAAAACACAAGAAACCAGAGATCATTATGCAATATAATGCCACAAAAGGAGGGGTAGACACTTTAGACATGGTCACGGCCCGTTATAGCTGCAAGCGAATGACTTCACGGTGGCCCCTTGTGGTCTTTTTTAACATTCTGGATGTATCTGCGTACAATGCTTTAGTGATCTGGCTGGCAGTTGACCCAAAGTGGGAAAAAAGTAGATTCCGTATAAGACGGAGATTGTTTCTAGAAGAGCTGGGAAAGGCGCTTGTGTCCCCTCAAATCCAAAGAAGAACGAGAATTCCAAGGTCACCAGCAGCTGCTTTGATTGCAAAAAAGTTTCAAGAGGTGACTGTTGACCGCCCACATTCACGACGCAAACTGCAGTTACTTAAAGTAAGTGTGAGATGTTGATGAACATATATAGGCATCCTAGGAAGATTCATGAACTAATAAAATGTTATCGTTGTAGGGTGCAGCTGATGATGGAAAGAGGAGACGTTGCAAGGACTGTCCCTCTTCAAAAGATGTGAAGACACGTTCCACATGCATGACCTGCGCCAAACTTATTTGCGTTAGGCACACAGCGAAAATGTGCTTTCAATGTGTGGGAGTAGATATGAACATGAAATAGGACCTTAGGCACAGCCCTAATTTAACACACCTGATACAGGTAATCAGGCCCTTCAGTATCATTATTATGCCTTGTCCACACGTACACAGATATTTACAGGTGTTTTTCCTCTTCCTTTTTAAAAAAAATAAATAAAAATCCCCATCCACACGAACATTGTCTTCTAAAAAAGAAGACAATGTTCGTGTGGACAGGGATTTTATTATTTTTTTTTGCAAATTGTGGTACTGTGGTTCTATTTGTGTATGATAAAATCATTTATCCAGCATTGCTTAAGAATTATTTTAGTCTTTTCTGTGAATTTTGTCTGTGTTGCTATTTGCTATTAATGACCAATTATTGTATCCCCACTAATTCTTTTTCTTTGAATACACTAAATATAAGAATACAATTTTTGTGTATCTGTACTGCTTTAAAATCACAGATATGATCTGGGTCACTTTAGCCCAGGCCAACACTACCAAACAGTACAATGTCTCAGCACATGCCCAGTTTTAGACTAAGTACTTTCTTTGTCATTTTTGTAACCCGAGAGATGAATAGTAGTAAAACCATACAGTTATTCTGACACTAGCTGAGATACTGAAACAGCTGTTTTTCACTGTTATGCCGTCTGCTTGTTTCTTTTGTTACTATTTGATGCTGCTATCCCATGATCCTCCCCGATTCCCCACCATATTATATACCTCCTTTGGGTATTATAAGAGATGATTAATGCAGGCCTGTGCTTTTTAGTTTTGTGTAAAAATGGACACGGTAACATTCTGCCTTGTTAATGTTTTATTTGTATGTTGCAAATAAAAGGAAGCCTGTTTGGCTGAGTTATGTAGTTGGAAAACCGTATTTGTGACTGGTACACAGTGGACAATTTTAACCAGAGACATCTAAGTGTTACCCCTACACTTTAGACCAGGGATATTCAACTAAAATTTAAAGCGGTCCAGTTAGAGAAAATTTCTTGAAGCAAAGGTCCGGAATATCATAATGTCTAACTATTTAGTGTGATATATATTTAAGTAGCTTATTAGTTGCATCAACATTGTATTTAATCAGTACCTGACTGTCAAATCAAATTAATTCGGTACAATTCAAAAACGTTTTGACAATATTTATCGTCACGTGACATACAACTTCGGCCAACTGGCTGGAGTGAGATTTTCAGTTCGAGATGTCTGCACACACATGTAACAATTCTTACCTTGTAAATAGTCTGCTTTTGTATTTAACCGTGTAAATACACCTTTGACGTAGCTAATTTTAGGATTTATAATGGAATAATATAGATTTGCCGTAAGATTTCCCGCTTGAGTCTGAAAGCGTGAGTGTCATGCCAGATGCTTGAGATTTGGCAGCCATGAAAACGTACATTTTTTGTTTCACCTGAGTTTATATAACAGAACATTATTTTATACATATGTTAAAAAGCAAAAACTTCAACGAATATGAAATCAGCAATAAACTACGTCTATTTATCCAACATGTTATACACTCACCTAAAGGATTATTAGGAACACCATACTAATACGGTGTTTGACCCCCTTTCGCCTTCAGAACTGCCTTAATTCTACGTGCCATTGATTCAACAAGGTGCTGAAAGCATTCTTTAGAAATGTTGGCCCATATTGATAGGATAGCATCTTGCAGTTGATGGAGATTTGTGGGATGCACATCCAGGGCACGAAGCTCCCGTTCCACCACATCCCAAAGATGCTCTATTGGGTTGAGATCTGGTGACTGTGGGGGCCATTTTAGTACAGTGAACTCATTGTCATGTTCAAGAAACCAATTTGAAATGATTCGAGCTTTGTGACATGGTACATTATCTTGCTGGAAGTAGCCATCAGAGGATGGGTACATGGTGGTCATAAAGGGATGGACATGGTCAGAAACAATGCTCAGGTAGGCCGTGGCATTTAAACGATGCCCAATTGGCACTAAGGGGCCTAAAGTGTGCCAAGAAAACATCCCCCACACCATTACACCACCACCACCAGCCTGCACAGTGGTAACAAGGCATGATGGATCCATGTTCTCATTCTGTTTACGCCAAATTCTGACTCTACCATTTGAATGTCTCAACAGAAATCGAGACTCATCAGACCAGGCAACATTTTTCCAGTCTTCAACTGTCCAATTTTGGTGTGCTCGTGCAAATTGTAGCCTCTTTTTCCTATTTGTAGTGGAGATGAGTGGTACCCGGTGGGGTCTTCTGCTGTTGTAGCCCATCCGCCTCGAGGTTGTGCGTGTTGTGGCTTCACAAATGCTTTGCTGCATACCTCGGTTGTAACGAGTGGTTATTTCAGTCAAAGTTGCTCTTCTATCAGCTTGAATCAGTCGGCCCATTCTCCTCTGACCTCTAGCATCAACAAGGCATTTTCGCCCACAGGACTGCCGCATACTGGATGTTTTTCCCTTTGCACACCATTCTTTGTAAACCCTAGAAATGGTTGTGCGTGAAAATCCCAGTAACTGAGCAGATTGTGAAATACTCAGACCAGCCCGTCTGGCACCAACAACCATGCCACGCTCAAAATTGCTTAAATCACCTTTCTTTCCCATTCTGATATTCAGTTTGGAGTTCAGGAGATTGTCTTGACCAGGACCACACCCCTAAATGCATTGAAGCAACTGCCATGTGATTGGTTGATTAGATAATTGCATTAATGAGAAATTGAACAGGTGTTCCTAATAATCCTTTAGGTGAGTGTATAATACATACTGTATTTAAAAACTTTTCAGCTGTATGATTTCAGGACAGACCAGTCACTCTGTTAGGAACATTACGGCTTTTTGGTTGCGGGTTTTAGCTTCGCTGCTGCTATTAACACTAATGGCACATTAGCGCAGACAAAGGGCTGCATGAGACGAACTACGTCTAGCTTGGCGGTTAAAGGTGTTTGACATTCATTGGCGTGGGAAACGGCGGTTCTACTGCTAAACCACTACCGAAAAGACCACAAAAGCTGTGTCGGTTAAAATAGAAGCGTCAGGTTTTAAATAATAATGTTTTGGCTATCGGTCCAGGTCCGTATAGGACAACTTCTGGGTCCGGACCGCGGTCCGCCTGTTAGTGATCTCTGCTTTAGATGCTTTCACACCACTGGAATGTTTTTCCAGAACCTGGAGCTCCTGTGACGTTCAGCCCACAGGAACTTGATGCCGTTCTAGTTCCTCGGATGCAGTTATGGAACCCTCTTCTAGTCCCTACTCTCGACTAGGTGCTTCTCATTCCATCACACATTACTGGGGTGGTGTTTACATCAATAGTTTGCTGATTGTTTGACCAAGCACTGCTGATAATTTGGAAGTGCAGGGAAAAGAGAGATAATTAGCAGAAACGGATTGAATTATTTTTGAACTTCAGTTAGATTTCATGAATAATTTTTTTTTGCTTCAATCTCTATATTACTGTATCGAAAAATTTGATCAATAACCAATTTACTTTTCTCGAATAGTGCTGGTCTTGACAGTGATACTTGCCAATGCTCATTAGTGGAATAATGTTGTTATGTCACTTTTTTTATTCTTTGGAAAATGAAAGATCAGTCTGACAGCCGGATTTAATAAATTCTAGAACCATGGCTATTGAGCAGGTCCTTTAACCCACAGTTTAATTCAGTTTATTTTATATAGCGCCTTCATGACTGAGACACCCCAAGGCGCTTTAAATGGGTGTGTTGTGATCCATTACAACATAATTAGCAGAGAACAATATAAAAACAGGGAACAACAAAACAGCTGTCATATGTAGTATCTTAATCAGTGGATATAAAATAACACAAAAAAGATACGTAGGATGCTATTGTTCATTGAACGCTATATCCAGAGAAGGGCACACTACTAATGAAGTAAAAAAAAAAAAAAAAAAAAAGTTTGATCTCGCATCTGAGGCCAAGAAAAATATTGCCAAACACAGAAGGGAGACACTGACCACTGGAGGGGGACAGACTTGCCCAGAGGTATCAGAGCTGTACCAGCGTATCAGGGACATTATTGGAACGACCGCACTCTCCGTGTGCCATCAGCTGAGCATTTGGACACAGACCTGTGGCCTGTACTACGAAGTGGGGTTACTGGCTTATCGGGGTAACTTGTCGGATTTAAGGTAGTCTGGGCAAAATGTAAGTGAACGAATATGAAGTCCATTTAAACTGTGGTACCTTAAATCCGACAAGTTATCCCGATAAGCCAGTAACCCTGCTTCGTAGTACAGGCCACAGGGCCGCTTTCAGCAGTTTCATGTCGTAGGCCTGTGATAGGTGACCCTGATCCTGACTGAGCCCTGACTGATGCCAGAGTTATGACTTATATAGTGATCTTGGTGACAAGCGTGTTCATGTGCCAACGTTTATGTATCCTTGCCAATGTATGGTGATAGCAGCTTCATGAATTTTGGAAACGTGAAATAAAGCTGTAAATATTCTGAATTTTTCATGCTTAGGTTACTTAAGATATATACTCCAAGAGCAGTCTTTTTTCATAAGAGGCTCAATTTTATATTCATAGGCTGCTACATCACCTTTACAACTGCATGCATGTTTGTCATATTTTACAAACGTGCGGGACAAGTCCATCTCTTCATTAGCCTACGTCATTTTTTAATTTTGTTTGGCTCTCCAAACTTAATTAATCTGATTAATCGATTGTATGATTATAATGTTTATTACACAGGTTTACAAAAAAAAATTTTTCAGGTGCCAAGGTTTTTTGAATAGATTTAGGGTATTGTGAGGGTGCAGAATTCAAAAATTCCATTACTTGCTGAATTGGTTCTAGTTTTTGAGATAATGGACATCCATGAAAATAATGCATTCCCCCAATGCGGCTTGTGTGTGATAAGTAATGCAATAGCTTTTGGTCTGTCTTTTGATTCTTTAACAGTGTCTTAGGTAATGAAATATCCCATATAATTATTTTGTATTTCAATTTGTAGGCCTACAATGCTATAAAAACGACTTTTTGAAGCCAGAATTCAACTGTGAATTTGCAGAGGAAAAAAGTCGGCTACAGTATGTTTGTCAACCCAGTCTTGGTTTATACCCAAAAAGTTCTGTCTTAAGTATATAGATACAAAATTATGACTTCATCAAGAAGAGCCTGCATCAACAATCCAGTTTTAGCAAATACATGAATGACACTGATGCTTCGGCCTGCAAGAGTTTTGTCTCTGTTGTGAAGAACTACTTGGGTAATCACAGAGCAGAAAATTATGAAGAACTGGTGCAAGATATGCTTGCTAACTTCAGAAATTTGGGAGTTAGTGCATCTTCATGCTCAGATCTCCATAGCCATTTAAACAGATTTCCAGATAACCTTGGAGACTTCAGCGAGGAACACGGCGAGAGGTTCCACCAGGATATGAAGGTGATGGAGGAGAGATATCAAGGCAGATGGGACATACACATGATGGCAGACTACTGCTGGAGTCTCCAACGTGATTGTCCTGATGACACACATAAAAGGAAATCGCATAAACAGCGTTTTTTGAAACATTGACATTAACAATTAACTAATTAATATTGCATTAATCAAATCGTACATAACTTTTTCCTGTCATTGTTAGATATTTTGAATTTCTTTTTTTGTATGATGTTAGACTGTTTACTTATTAGTTGTAACTAAAATAAATATATTCTTGCAATTCTGAATGCTTTACAAATGTGTCGCAATAATTAATTTACTATAAAATATCTCAGAAACTAGAGCCAATCTGGCAAAACCGAAGTCATATTCTTAATCAGCACCATAAACTTAATATATAACTGTTCAGACATCATTGGCACCAAAATCACTGTATTCCAGTGTTATTAATGTATATTAAAGCTATTAGGATATGTTAGGATGTTAATATACTGTATACTTGCATGCTGCTGAATGTTCTATGATTGCATTACAAAAGCATTATGAAGGTGCAGTTCAGGTAACATGTCACCAAATATTATGCACTGAAACTAGCTTGAGTTTGTAAAGTAGTGTGTTTTTTTGAGATTAACTGTAAGTTATAATCGCACTGTAAAATTTACATTTATATTAAAACTTACAAATGAGCAGTGCAGGGGGTGCACCACATTTCAGGGTGATTGTCATCACATGAGAAACAAAGCAGTCGATGGAAAGCATCAGAACTTTATTGGACCAAATGGGGGAATGAATAGGATGGAGATGGTCTATGAGGATGTATAAAGCGCAGTCTCAACTCTCCAGTGCTGAGCATAGCTTCTTCATCACATCCTAGACACCAATTATCATCATATGCAGCCACGCCACGCCCCCTCATCTACCTCGTGTGGATTCCCGGTGTTTCCCAGCTGTTTTGCATTATTTCCGATTAGTTCAGTGTATCTTTCCCTAGTCCTGTCATTAATGCAAGGATCTTCTTTGTGGGCATGTTCATGACATTATGATATAGCGTTAGCAAAAAATCAATCAATTTTGAAATATAGGTTTTTTCGTTATTGAATTTTTAATAATTTAATCAGTTATTACATAGTAATGATTCATATGGGGATGGCATATTAATTGTTCAATCTATAGAGCTGGACAATAGCTTTAAAACAATATAAGGACCACTTCTGTGCAGCTTACATTAAGGTAAATATAGCCAGTCAAAGTCATAGCCCCCCCCCCCCCCCCCCAAAAAAAAAATTACAAATATGTTTGCTTAAATCTCCCTCAATATTGATCCCAGACAGGCCCAATTTCAGTTTCATGAGTCACTCATGTGACCAAATCAGCATGCCAAGTTTCATTAACATCCATAATGATGAGGTCCGAAAGTGTGATGATTTGACATGGAATGACACCCTCCTGCCTCAAAACCTGTCCTGACCAGCTGGCTCCGGTCTTCACTCAGATCTTCAACAAATCCCTGGAGCTGTGTGAAGTACCCACTTGCTTCAAACTCTCCAACAAAATCCAGGACCCAAGAAACCCTCCGTCAATGGACTGAATGACTACAGACCTGTCGCTCATGAAGTCCTTTGAACGTCTGGTGTTGGCCCATCTGAAGAACGTCATAGGACACCTGCTGGACCCCCTACAGTTTGCCTACCGGGCAAACAGGTCAGTGGGTGATGCAAAAAAAAAAAAAAGAATTTGGCTAAGGTAGTCTACAGGCTCTCTAATGTTTTTGGAAGAATAAAACACAATTTCTTGGCTGTTCAATTCATACACACATTCTTACACACATTTTGTCTCTGGTCTACATCACACTCTCTTTTCTCTCTTCTGTCTGAGCTATCTGATCTGCCTATTATTGTCTTCTGCATTGTCTTATACATAACAACATGAATAAGCAACACTACAAATATGAACGGCAAAAATCTTACACATAATAAATAGTAAACATCTGCCCATTTCATATCTTGCAAAGTATGCACAAATAGTGTAGAATGTAATTACTCTTCAAGTTCACAATCACTGCACCAAGCATTACAATGTTAGCATCACTAGACCAGCCAGTATACTTTGGTCTGTGCTCTGGGTCATAAAGGTGAAGGGTAGGGCCCTCTGTACTGATCCTTACTAAGTTTTCCAGTAGTTTCTATGCCGAGGGAACTGCACACTTTTGATTTTATTGTTTTGTGCTGAAAATCCTTGCTCTCATTGAGCTGCAGATGTCGGAAGAACCAGCATTAGTTCAACTAAGTGAAGCAAGTTATTAAAATCTGTACAGAAGCTCCATTGTCAGCATAACTTTCCATAAGTCACTGAGCGTGTTCACCTATCTCACTTCTTAAAAGTGCCCCTATTACCCGCTGTTGCACTCAAGTTCACATTTGCACAATCTGCTCCAAAAACACTCATTTTGTGTAACCAGCAATTTGGGGTGGTTGGATCAGAATCCTGAAGCAGTGCTGTAATAGTGCTTATAGTTTTTTCAGAATGACACATGTATTGGTTTTCACAAAGTTTTCTGATTCAGTGTTTGTAGGAATTTTTGTCAGATGTTTGTATGGTATACTGAAGTATAATTACAAGCATTTCATAAGTGTCAAAGGCTTTTATTGACAATTACATTCAGTTTATGCAGAGTCAATATTTGCAGTGTTGGCCCTTCTTCAAGACCTCTGCAATTTGCCCTGGCATGCTGTCAATGAATTTCTGGGCCAAATTCTGATTGATGTCAGCCCATTCTTGCATAATCAATGCTTGGAAATTGTCAGAATTTGAATTAACTTGGAGGCATGGGGGATATTTCCGATCTCCTAATAAAACAAGTCATTACAGCAATAGAAGCCCACTGTTGTTGAGATTTATTATTACTCAAAGATGTGTCCTGATAAGCCATGCCTCTCCATCAGCTCACTGGTCAAGGTGCATTCCGGCAGAACCATTTTGTAAAATGCAGGAGTCGTGTGAACTTCTTGGGAAGCAGGAGACCACGTTCAGAAGGTGGTTTTGGTAGTTGCAGATGAGTCGTGCATTTATGGAGTGGTATTGCTTGCTGATGAGAAACAGGAACAGATCTGGGGAGGGTGTCTTAAGGCACATGTCCACGCAGTCCATTGCGCAGATGGTGCTTGGTAGACCAGTAACAGACTCTCTTTACTGGGACCTATTCTAATAGGGAAATGAAATTTCATCTACTGTATGACCAGTTGATTTATACCATACACGACTCGTGGGAGAGCATGGCTGTTGGATGCCTCTGATTTGCCCACCCTGTCTCCTAACTCCCTGTGAAATATCCCAGTCGCCAAAAAACCCAAAGTAGAGAGCAGTTGCGCGTGTGGTGGTACAGGGTTAGACCATCTGCTTTGACTCCGCAATACTGGTGCCAAATTCTTGCAAAGTTCCACAAGGACAGCTCTTGGTAGCCTAAAATATCCCAAGAAGTCTCTGCAAATAGATCTACATAGTCCTGGAAGATGAGTTCCCCTTCAGGCCACGATATGCAACATCTTGAGTATTCAAGATATGCAACATCAGCAGTAAATATGGCATTGTGTGACTGGGACTAGAATACAGAAATAGGCTACTGATTATTGAATGGCACGGTACTCAATAATCACATAACTGATATGAGTTGCAGTGTAGTGTTTGTTTTAGAAACTATAATGCCTTGTAAAATAATGAAAATAAACATTTAATCAATTATGAATGATAAAAATATTGTAATTTAAATTCTATAATATCAAGCAACTGTAGCATTAAATAAGACGCAATAACCAATTATTTGCACAAAATTGTCAGCACTCAAATATGCGCGAGTGTACAAAGATTCTGTTCTTACCTAAGACATTTACGAATGTTAGAATTTTCGTGAGAACTGCGTAAATGGGCTTTAAGAAGAACTTTTTTAAAAACTTTTTTAAGAATGGTTGGTGAATAAGGCCCATTGTTCTGTTTTGAAAGCGCGCGCTTTCAAAGATCAGAATGATTTATTTTTTATTACTTAAGAAAAAATAAAACATGCTCATATTTTTTTATTTGCAAAATGAAACGATACAAAACAAAGAAACACGACTGTTAATATTTGGTCGTTTACGGTGATATTCGAGTAAGGTATATAAGAAAAATAGAACAGGCTGCTCGGGGCAGGGATCTACTTCCGGGGTAAATAATTCGATTTAAAAGCGCCAAAGCAAACGTGACGGTCTGTTTTGCATTGATTTTTGCGCGAGGTGAGTGGCCATCCTGTTCTACTTGTGGTTTTGTTTGTTCCTCGTAAAACATTGTTCTCACAATCGTACTTCTTCGCATACCATGTGGAATATTTTTGCTTAACTTTTTTTAGTTTCTTGAATTATGAAAATGGGAGTTTTTATATTAAACTGTCCCCTTTAGGATATGGACATTTCTGGCATTTTTTTCTCTGTTTACATCCTGATTTTGCTTGCATCTTGTACAGGTAATCTCCACGTCCCCGAATGAGATTCCTTCCTCAAGTCTGCCTTTAACTTCAATTCGTAGGTAAGTTGGAATATTATTATTATTATTATTATTATTATTATTAACAACAACAATAAATTTGTAGGTAAGTCGGAACCACAGTACATAATGAAAACAACAGGGATCCATCCAATAAAAGATACGGCATACGGTACTGAATTTAATGATATCTGTTTTTCCTCGAATCCCGCTTTTTTTCGGATATATTTTCATGTAAGCATCGGCATATAAGCTGCTGAACCGAAAAAAAACAGCCTTAAGGGGGTTTTCAAAGTATGACGCCTTGCGCTCGGTCTCTTGTCTTGACTTGTGTCTCCTTAAAGGCTTTTTTTCGGCTCGGCAACTTACAAAAAACTTAGTTCTGGGATATTCGGGTCATTTGCGGGCGGCTTAGTTTAAATTTAAGTACTTATAGCGAGCCGGTCATAGTTTTGCCTTCTTTAATAGCGGCTCGAGTCGCGCTCCTGTTGGTTAAAAGCATCGGCCGAGTTCTGGTCGCGCGTTAGCTGACCCCTACATCACTGGTTCCTACGCTGTAATGGCGCCACACAAGGCTGCAATGGCCGATTAGGGGTCATTATTGTAAACGCTGAAGCCACCTGGGAAGTGCACCGAGTTCCTGCGGTGGCAATGGGCCTCATGGTAAAGCGTAGTGTTGAATGGTGAGACTGGGGGCAGGGATTTGTTTCATTAACTGGTTTATATTTTTAACCTGAAATGAATGAATTACAGGTATGAAATCAACTCAACCGCTATCATTCCACACCTGTACTCGTAACATCAGACCAGTATGGTGGTATGCCCATGACAAGTAATATTAAGCTGTGAAATGTAATAACGACAAATTGTAACACTCCTATTGAAATTTCTCAATTTTTAGTGTGTCACAATATAACAATTTGTATTGAGATTAGAGTGTCTCTGTCCTGTGAATGGAGAGGTTTTCATTGTGAACTTTTCTGTAGCTTAGTATTGTGAAGGAATACATGCTTAGTTCTAGGTGATAATGAATATCTTTGATGTTGCATCCATTTGGTAAGTTATCTGATAGTCAGCAATGCTTGCTTTAATATATTTTGTTATAACATCTTAAAGAAATTGAAATAGAAATGCATTTCCACAGCAACAAACAAACAATGCACACCAAATCCTTATATAAGCTCAAAACATACTTTTTGCAGTAACATGCATTTGTTTTATTTATGTTTACTGTTCTGACAGTAGTTGGTAGTTCATGGGTCATTGTGGAAGCAAATATGTGCTTTGTTTTCTGGGGTTTTGGTGGAAAATATTCAAAATATATGCCTTATTGTGCACAGGATTCCACTGGCATAATGTATTAACAGTAGGTATTAGAAATGAAGGCCTGCTTCTAACATAATCCTGCCTTAAAGGCCTGTTACTTCTGCAGCCTGCGGCTGAATTCGAGTCGCACGTGAATTGATGCCTACATCACTGGTTCCTACTGCATATTTGCGACACGCAAGGCTGCAATGGCCGATTAGGGGGCCATTACCGTAAACACTGGAGGCACCTGGGAAGTGCCTCAATTTCTGGGGGTGGGCATCAGCCTTATAGTAAAGCCTAGTTCATTCTTCTGTATGTGTTTCCGTGCCGTGCTCTGTTGTGTGTGTGTGTGTGTGTGTGTGTGTGTGTGTGTGTGTGTGTGTGTGTGTGTGTGTGTGCGCGCGCGCAGAAGCTTATGGTTACACTACATTTTGCTGTTGGGAAGTTGTTAGTCTAAGCTCAGCTGCTATGAATGTAATATGGCACATCACGGTCTCTTCATGATTTATGACAAAATTAGCCACAGTTTACTCTGATTTTAAGGGTGGTTGAGCTGCACGATGTGCGGTATTAGTATCAACTGTGCATTTTATGCATCACATGGGCCATGGTCGTTATCTAGGTTGCAGCCATCAATAAGTTAACCTAAAACATTTTTACTCATTGGAAACGCCTAACGTGCTTTGCAATTTTAATGGTGGTTCCTATTCAAGATAATGCAGTGGTTCTCATTCCTTTTCTTGTGTTTACAGGTAGCCGTGTCGACAGACTGCCGACCTTCCCAAGGTATGAGTGTGCATTTGTTTTATATTGTCATTTCAAATTTAAATCGGCAGAAGTCTGCATAATGTCAAGGCAACATATGGGATGTTCAGAGAGATGCATGTGATTCACCAGCAGTCCAAGGCCCCATTGAAGACAACTGTCAATGTCAGCTACTCTTGGGTATCTGCATGGTTATGTGTGAAAATCCCAATAGATCAGCAGTTTCTGAAATGCTCATACCAGCCCATCTGGCACCAACAACTATGCCTAGTTTAAAGTCTGTTGAGTCATTTTTACACCCCCCCCCCCCATTCTGGTATTTCACCTGACGTATATCTGCATAATTTTCTGCATTATGCTGCTGACACATGATTGGCTGATTTTAGATATTTGCTTCAATAAGTAGTTAGGTGTACCAAAGAATAGGTGTACCAAAAAGTGGCTAGTGAGTTCATGTGCACTATAGATGTTTCCCTAGAAATCCCTACAAGTCATTTGGTTGTGTAATGGTCTTCTGTAATGAAGATGTCAATTATTTTAAGAGATTATAATCTGTTTAACTGTGCTTGGAGAGACTGAATGTATAAAAATATTTTGAAATGCTGTTTTGATCGTATAATTTTCTTTTTTTTTTTTTTTTAAATCTTACTTTTCTCCATTTGCAACAAGTAAAAGATTAATATAAACCACCGAACAAGCCAATGGAAAAACACAATATTAGCTCATTTGTTCTTTTATAGCACCAAAGGTTACAATGATAATGTGCAATAAGGACATTTAGGAAAAACTGCAGCATGATTGTAGAGACACCAGGCTCTACGTGGTTCACATTGGGTTCCCCCATTTTATAGAATTGCTCTGAATGCAATGTAGCTGTACAGTACTCTGACACTAAATCAAACTGCATTCTCTGCCAGCCTTTAACAGTTGGTACTACTTCATTAATCTACTGCAATAAAATGCTCTTCCTTGCAGCATAAGTAAGAATGCAGTACAATCTCTTGCTTTTTCATGCCGCATATCTGCTTGTGAGGCCCAGGATGAGGAACACGGGGTCCATCTCTAGTTCCGAACGAAATATTTTTCCTATTCCAATCAGCACGTCACTGCCCCCAGACCATGGGCATTCTTTGGAAGTTCTTAATCTGATACCATTCCAACCTTTGCTTGCATATTATATTCATCTACATTGTGTTGTTGACTTAGCATCTCCTAAACAAGATGATTAGCTTTAGCTCATTCAGGTGCCCTTGGATTCCATCACACCCAACTCCACCTTGTGCCACCCCTGAGTTTTAGTTTCAAGCATTTTATACCCCGTAATTGCTACTTTTGAGGTTAAAATGATTCTCAGTGCTGATAACCGTTCACAGACCTGTACTGATCAACAGTGCAACCTTCTCATCTTACTGCAAAACTTGAAATTACAAATGTCCTTGGCTATCTTCAGCGGGTCCATCCTGGTGCTTCACATCCCTTTTATTTGTCTTGTTTCCAGGTAGCCATGTCTGCAGAATGCCTTTCTTCCCAAGGTACAAGTGTGTTCACTTTTATACCATGTTTTTGCATGTAAAATCGTCAAAAGTCTGCTTAACCCCTGGTGGAGGGCTGCACAATATTTAGTTTCAGTGTGGTCATCGCAAAGTGCACATGAGTAATAATCACATCACAGAACATGTCAAGTAAGGCAAACGAAATCCAATGCATCATGCTACAATGAATTAGCTGCTTGATACGAAAAGAAAATTTGCAAGGTTCTTATTTTCCATTATCTATAAGACGTCTATAAGAGACAACAGTTTACTCTGATTTTAAGGGTGGTTGTCGAGCTGCACGATGTGCGGTATTAGTATCAACTGTGCATTTTATGCATCACATGGGCCATGATGGTTAGCTAGGTTGCAGCCATCAATAAGTTACCCTAAAACATTTTTACTCATTGGAAACGTGCTTTGCAATTTTAATGATGGTTCCTATTCAAGATTATGTAGTATGTTACAAAATTAGGCAAAAATTTACCACTGCTACTTTTACATGAGCTTTGCCTGTGCTCTCTGAGCCACTTATAATAATTTTTATCCCTACTGTTGGACTCACTCATAGTGTGGTGCGTTTGTGAGAAATGTAACAAAAATGACGCAATGAGAAGAAAAGAGAACATGAACTGGTAATCAAAAGACATTAGCCTCCTGCTGTACAGATATATAGTCTTCCGCTGTGTGAATATATGTTTTGGATTCTATAGGACAGTGCTGAGCAAAAGCAAGTCATTTGTCAGGACAAATTGCGAAAACACGACCAACAGTTGACACACCCTTATTTTATGAATCGCAATATTTATTGTAAAAATTTCAAATATCACATTGTGAATTTTTTTTTTCAAATTTCATGCATCTCCACCCTGGTGTCTTGTTTGGGTCATAAAAGTGTTTCCTCTATGAATAATGGAGAGAAAGAAAGCAGCATAAATCGTTGTTTTACCGTGAATCTTGATGTCTTTTGTTCTCTTTCGTTGAAGATCTTGAAAATGGACTCATGTAATAGTTATCCTACACTCCTGCATGTTTGAATTCTTTATAAAGTGTCTGGGTCAATTTGACCTAATGGTAGTAAATGGTGCGAAAGAATCAAAACAGAATGATCATGTTCATCAAATACACAGCGACAGACAGACATGAGTACAGAAACCAGGCATGTTTAGATGCATTGTAATATTTTCACTAGACATTGCTCAAACAAACAGGATTTGCTTTCCATCTTCTCCAGCTTGTAATGCGAATATCTTGTACATACTCATTGTAACTTAAGTGGAAATTAGGAAGGGCTAGTCAAAATGGATAAATGCATTACATGGGTCAGAGCCAGTAGATGACACAGCCGAAACACCTTCAGCACAAGACTTGAAGCCAAAATTGGAGACGACTGAGGCAAGTAGTGAAGCAGAAGATTGAAGTTCTGTAGGAAGTGTATTGCATTTTGAATGTAATGAATTTTTTTCTCCCTGAAACAGTGATGCCAGATATGGGGATCCTTAGGGATCGTAACAATTGGAACAATTTTTTGGAAAATTTTGAAACCTTCGGAAATTTTGAAACGTCGATTTATATGTTAACATCTAATGGTCACATAGTAGTATTTACCAAATAGTGCATTTTATTTTTCGCGTCACACTCAGTACTTGGTACTTTTGAGGTCAAACTCAGGTTATCTTTACTGAGAATCATTCACAGACCTGTATTCAAGACTTGTGATTTCATCCTTCTCAGCTGACTGAGAAGCTTCAAATTTAGAATTCACAAATTTCAGCTGTCTTGCTTGGGTCTGTTCCAATGGTTCTCATACCTTTTGTTTCTTGTGTTTACAGGTAGCCGTGTCGACAGACTGCCCGCCTTACCCAGGTATGAGTGTGTACTTGTTTGACATTGTAGTTTCACGTTTAAATCGACGGAAGTGTCCATAATGTCTAGGCAAGATATCAGATGTTCAGAGAGATGCATGTGATTCACCGGCATGGATAAATGAAAATGCATTACATGGGTCAGATCATTCTCATCTATACATTTACAGAGCCAGTAGATGACACGGCCAAAACACCTTCAGCACAAGCCTTGGAGCCAAAATTGGA